TTGACCTCAGAGGGTAGCCCCCTCTCGGCAGACAGAGGCGAGACCGAGAGCCCCGGGCGGAGGCCGGAGCGCCTAGCCCTCCACGAACGGCGCTGACCAGGGAGGGCGGGGAGGGGGCGGAAGCAGCGAGCATGACTTAGGCGCTACTCTACGCTTCGAGCGCCCGGCACCACACACGCTTGCTGCTGCTGCAGGCTCGCCCACAGCGCCCGCGCCGACCCCTGCGCGACAGCTTCGCGCGGCCAGCGGCGCCGCCGACCCGTCAACTTGAGTGAGGATGTGCTTGGAGCGGCCGCCCGAGGAGGAGGTAGTGATCTCCACATCCGTCCCCTGCTCCAGCTTGGCCATGAGGCGCCGCGGCGTCCTAGTGAACTCGAACTTGAGGTATCCGAAACCAATGGAAGCTGGGCCTGCTGGGGGGGGTTCTCTCTGCTTGGTGGGGGATCAGCGGATCACGACAGACTTGAAATACCGCTGAAAACTCCCTCTGAGGAGCGGCTCGCGGGGCTTGCCTTGGCGTCTCAGAGGGTCCCCGTAGCCTCAGAGGCTGCGCCGAGAGAGGCTGGCTTGGCGGCACAGGCCTTCAGAGGGTCGGCCCAGGCACCCTCTGAGCCGCTCGTGGATGGCCTCTCTTGGCACAGAGGGTACCCTCTGAGACGAGCAGATCTGGGCCCCCTTGCCTCAGACCCCCCCCCCTCTGATGCAACCCCCTAGTGCGTTGTCTCAGGCCTTCGACCTCGCTCGTATGCTCTCCACGCTGGTCGCCGCGAGCGCATTCGCGCCAACGCATGGGCCGCTGCGCGGCTTGCAGCCGCGCGGCCGCGCTTCGGTGGCTCTTCAGGAGACGGGCACCTTCACCTCGGACGGCGCAAAGTCGCAGGTTGGGAACGACGCGTTTCTGAATGAGGACCTGATGGGGCGCGCGATCCGCGGCACGGGCGTCGTGTCCGACAAGAAGCTCAAGATCGGGGTGGTCGGCGCCGGCCTCGCGGGCATGGTCGCCGCCATGGATCTCGCGGACGCCGGGCACGACGTGGAGATCTTTGAGCTGCGGCCGTTTGTCGGTGGCAAGGTTTCGAGCTGGATGGACCGGGACGGCAACCACATCGAGATGGGGCTGCACGTCTTCTTCGGCTGCTACTACAACCTGTTCGGCATCATGCAGCGCACTGGCTCATACGACCTCATGCGCCTCAAGGAGCACACGCACACCTTCATCAACAGCGGCGGCGGCGTGGGCGCGCTCGACTTTCGCTTCCCTATCGGCGCTCCGGTCTCCGGGCTGCAGGCGTTCGCGCGCACGGAGCAGCTGGGCGTGAGCGAC